CATAATCTCAGCACTTTGGAAGGCAAAGGAGAGAGGATTACCTGAGCCCAAGTTTTCATATGGTATTCCTTTCAGGGTTCTTGAGGTGAGATTGTTGATCTTCTAGTTAGTGATCTTGTTGCTTTCTTTTCCTTTCTCATGTTTGTTCGTTTGTTTTCTTTCCAGTGCTTTTGCTTCTAGCAGCCTGTTCTGTTTTTTGTTTTTTTTTTCCTACCTGCAGTTCAATTTTTCTCTCAGACTCCAGTTCTATATACCCAACTACTTAGTACTGGGCATTTTCATTTGGTTAGTATATTAGCATAATTATAGAGAGGGGGAAATTCAGGCAGTTGCTTACCTGATGTAATTCCAACAGTATGTGAAACATCTTTGAGGATAAAGATTTTTTGGAAGACAGCTTTTATGTTATCTATATTTTCTAGGCCATTATTATCAGACGGCACATTTAAATAAAAAATCTAAATACTGTTTACCCTTCAGCATCAGATAAAGAAATTGAGGTCCCAGAGTCAGAGTACTATGTAGTTTTGCCCAAGGTCACACACCGGAAATTAATCTAGAACTCTTTTGCCTTTCTGAAATCTTGTTTTGTTTTCTGAGGCCATGAGAACCAGCTTAGGCTCTCATTCCCTCCTGATTACACTGACTCTGACTTGTTTCTGTGCTGTCACCCAAAACTTTCTATCATATATACCCTTTTCCTCCTGCCATACTAACTCTTCTACACAGCTTTGAGAATGTCACTCCTCTGCCCCAAAATATGCAGTGGCATAAAGCTAAACTCACAGAGCTGGAGGATCTGAAGCTGAGGGTCTGTAAACACTCACCCCAGTCTACCTTAGCAACCCATTTCCAGTCTTCTACTTGTATTGAGCTCCTTAAATCACACAGATTTATTTAGTGCTCCTAAAGTGAACTTTTATTACTGGGATCAGGTCATTCTTTCCAAATCCTGCTTGTTTCTCAAAACCAAACACAAATGCTCTTTCCTTACTAATGTATTTTCTAGCCACTGCAGCTTAAATGATTTCTCCCTTCTGTGAGTTGTGAGATAAATTACTGACTATGGTATTATTATGTCTATAACAACACAGTATCTTTTCTTTGTGAGGGTGATTATTAATTACTGAAGAGATTGTCTTTTCATCCCACCCAATTGTAAACTCCCTGAGAACAGGAGCTATCACCTATATCTATCTGTATCTATATATCTATGTCTATGTCTATGTCTATGTCTGTGTCTGTATCTATATCTATATTGATGGCATACCTAAATAATTATCATAATCATAATAATAATTTTATATCATATATAGAAAAACATCACTAGTAACTTATTTTGGACTTGTCTCTAGTTTCACTAACATATAATATTGCTTCTTCTGTTTCCTTATTACAACTTACATTTTTAAAAATCGATTTACTCAAGCTTGTGGTTTTTTTATGTACAGATTTCAGGAACAGATATTCTTATATTCACAGGTCAGCTTCCAAAACATAAAGGAAAACAAAAATCCTGGAACAACGAAACAGAGAAGCTCAGGTATGTTTTTTTTCTAAGGTTTTATTTTTATTTTTTTCCCAAATGTACTCTTACCAAGAAAAAGAAAAAAAAATTCTTTTTCAAGAATTAGGTGCTTTAATGTACGTGTGTTATGGTGAATACTAAAATCCCTTTGAAATATCAAATACATGTCTTTAGAATTGGATAATTGTTGCTAAAGGATTATTAATCCTAGATAATAATATTGACTTTTGAAAGTTAATATGAAATGTATCAATAGTAGTTTTTCTCAATTCCGACTTAAGTGCTCTAACGAGAAGAAACATTCAGAGAAGTATAAGGTAGAAATTAAGTCTCCTTCCCTGCTTATCTCATTTTACCTCTCCCACAGTTCCTTCTCTAGGGCATCCTCCAGGAACATACCATTAAAAGTGTATTGGCTATCGGGAAACTTATTTTATATGCACAGGCATGGGTATATGTATGTTCAGATACCTTTTTGAGCAATTATCATTAGAGAAAGATATTTACTAATGAATTCTGACCACTTATAAAATGAGTTCTACTAAACAAGCCCACCAAAATTAGCAGCAATTAATCACCCTAGCTTTATAATTAATCCTCCATTGCCTCCAAAGATACAAGTTGATTGCAAAGTGAAAATGTAAATCTTTTTTTGAAAGAGTTAATATGTAATTTATACACTTTATAGCAAATTGATAAGCAGAAAGGGAGTGACGATTTTTTAACTAACTAACATGACAGGAATTGGTATTTATTTATTGTTTATTTATTTCAATAGCTTTAGGAAGTACAAATAATTTTTGACCTAGGCTTTAAGTGTATACCCTCCATCCTTAACTGTGTACACTGTACTCGATAGGTGATTTTTCATCCCTCCACCCCTTCTCCCTTTCCCCTTCTAGGGTCTCCACTGTCCATTATGCCATTCTCTATGTCTTTGTGGATTCTTGATTTAGCACCCAGTTATAAGTAAAAACATGCAGTGTTTGGTTTTCTGTTTCTGCATTAGTTCACTTAGGATAATGCTCTCCAATTCTATCCAAGTTGCTGCAAAAAACATTTAATTCTTTTTGATGGCTGAGTAGTATTCCATAGTGTATCTATACCACATTTTCATTATTCACTGATTGGTTGATGGACATTTAGGTTGATTCTGCATCTTTGCATGAAATTGTAATTTTACAATACAGAAATTCATATGGCAAATGAAAGTGATGTTGGAGAAACAGCAAAGCCATGTCTGCCAGAGTCTACTGGTTGTCAGTTTTCTATCCTTCATTTCTTTTTCTTTTTTTTTTTTTTTAATATAGATGTGGGGTACAGTTCAGGGTTAGGTGTACAAACTTTGATTATGCAGGTACCCTTGTTGATGAGGTATGCCCCTCCCTCCCCTAGTAGTTTTCCTCAACTGCCAATTTCATCCCCCCTCCCCTGACAGTTTCCCATTACTGCCAAATGCTTTCTTACAGTATTATAATTGTTCAAGGTCCGCTTATGAGTGAGAACATATGGTACTTTGTTCTGTGTTTCTGTGATTGATTACTGAGTATGATTGACTCCAAATTCATCCAAGTTGCTGCGAAGTCCATATATTTGTCCTTCTTTATGGCTGCATAATATTACATTGTGTGTATGTACCACATTTTCTTTATCCAGTTCAGTTTCGATGGGCAACATGGTTGGTTCCATGTTTTTGCTATTGTGAATAGAGCTGCAACAAACATACGTGTGCAGGTGTCTTTGTAGGATGATTTGCATTTCTCCGGATATATTCCCAATAGGGGAATTGCTGGGTCATATGGAAGGTCAATTTCTAGTTCTTTCAGAAATCGCCACACTATCTTCCAAAGAGTTTGCACTAGTTTGCATTCCCACCAGCGGTGTAGAAGCATTCCTTTGTCTCCACATCCTCGCCAGCATCTCTTGTTGTTTGTTTTATTAATGATGGCCATTCTTACTGGGGTTAGGTGATATCTCAATGTGATTTTGATTTGCATTTCTCTGATGATGAGTGAGGCTGAGCACTTTTTCATGTGTCTACTGGCTTCCTGTATATCTTCTTCTGAGAAGAGTCTATTCATGTCTTTTTAAAGGGGCTATTTGTTTTTTTCCTTTCGGCACATTTGAGTTCCTTGTAGATCCTAGATGTTAGACCTTTGTCAGATATATAGTTGGCAAATATTTTTTCCCATTCTGTGAGTTGTCTCCCTGCACTCTTTATGGTTTCTTTTGCTTTGCAGAAGCTCGTTAGTTTGATGAGATCCCACTTGTCTATCTTATTTCTTAAAGCTATTGGCCTTAAGGGTTCTGAATAGGAATTGGTTGCCAGTTCCAATTTCCATAAGGGTGTCTCCTGCATTTTCTAAGATTCTTTGAGGTTATTCTTAGTTTGAGGTATTTTTTTTTTTTTTTAATAATTTTTATTTATTTATTTATTTATTTTAATTTTTTTTTAAATTTTTTTTTTTTGAGTTGGAGTCTCACTCTGTCGCCCAGACTGGAGTG